TTCCAGTGACAATTGGGTGTATGCCTCCCTGGCTGCACCGGTCAATCTTAACTGGACCAGCTGGGCCCATTCCTCCTGTGGCCACTCCTTGATGCTGGCTACTTTTTCAAAGTGCTCGAAAAAGCTCTCTGCCTCTTCGGGAACAAACAAGGGAATGTCCTTCTCCCTAACCCTAACATCTGGTGGGTGTGATACCTGGGTGGTGCTCTCTGGCAACCCATGTTCAATCCTTTGTTCAGCCAAGGTTCTATTCGCTTCTATCTGCATTTGTTTTGTTCTCTCTTTTTCTTTTTCCACCTCTAGCCTTGCTTTCTCTTTTTCTTTCTCCTGTTCCAACTCCAGTTCCCTTATTCTGGTTTTCTCTTTTTCTTTCTCGACCTCTAGTCTTGCTTTCTCTTTTTCTACCTCCAGTCTGGTTCTCTCTTTTTCCTTCTCGGCTTCATTTTTCATCTGGAGTTCTAATTTCATCTTTTCCAGCTGGAACTGTCTCTCCTTGTCCTTTCGTTGTTGCTGCATCTGGAGCTCTAACTGGAATCTCTCCAAGCTCCTATTTCGGCTACTCCTACTACTGCGGCTACTCTTGCTGCTCCTACTCGATCCTTGGGATCTCACTTCATCCTGCCCATCATCCTCCTTTCCACTTTCAGCTCCTTTTTGGGCTCCTTGCTCTGCCGCTTCACTCCTGGCTCTCAACTGCCTCAGGATCTCATCCTTCATCCCAGCTACTTTAGATGCTCTCAACCTGATGCCACATTTTTCTGCTATTTGTTTCAATTGATCCCTCGTGCAACCTTCCAAGTCCTCAGGCTTGCCTGACTCCACAAATGCTTGCACCTTCTCCATCTTGTCCTGTGAGTCTTCCCAAGAGAGAGAGTATACACCTGCGGTCACACAGTTTATCTATTTCAGCAAGGGTGTACAAATCCACTCTTGGACAGGGTGTGGGTGTGTCAGTTCACTCTCCCGGACACAGGCCCCCAATTTATTATAGTCTGTGGGTTGGCTGGTGTTGTCGTCGTTGATCCTTCTCTACGGACAACCCAACCCACAACTCGGGAGAGTGCTTACACTTCACTAGGAGATCACACTAGGCGCTTCTGGCTCTTGGAGAGGGGCTCCACGTCACATGTTTAGGGGATGCGGCTCCAACACTCAGCCTCGTTGTCACGTGCACACACCCACTCGAGCCGCTGTGACTCCCCACTCTCTCCTTAGGTGATATGATCTCCTCAATCCCCTTTTGACCTATTTTTATTACCTTTTACTCTGTCCACAGCAGTGGTTCTTGGTTCTTTCTCTCTCTCTCTCCCTCTTTACTACCTCCTGGGAAGCCTCACTAGGACAAGGGCAAACACCAGCAAATTGGGATACATTTACTAGACAAAGCACATACACGATACATACACACATATAATAATAATGAATCCTATACTCTATAATATCACAATCAGGTTGCTCTCCAACACAACCAGAACTCTACCATCAGCTTATCAAGTGGTATCCTATCTCCTGGTTCACCACCTGATACTATCAACCTCCTCAAGTTGGTCAAGTCTACATACACTGTTGCACCATCAGCAAGATAATATATACATAGAACATCAGCATTTGAATGCAATAACATATATCAGTATAAATGTTCATTGATGCACAACAATGATGAATCGATCACTGTCAGTCCTGGAACGCATACATCTGTAGGTAATCCAGCCTACGACTGTAACTCTAAACTTCAGTATAAAACCCTCCTTGACATAAGGATGCAAACAGTCACTCACCTCTCACTGCGTCTTGCACGCTAATGACAACCAAACACTATCAACTCCCTACTAGTAATCCACCAGAACTTCCCCTTCCACCTCTGGAAGTTCACTACCCTGATATCTTCAGGTTCTTCCGGGCTTCACTACCAGGATCCTCTGCAGCTCCTCCAGGCTGCTATCATGAAGTTTCCTTGAGCAACTATGGTGCTCTACAACTTCTGCTAGGTTCCTCCACAGCTCTCTTGGCTGCTACACCACCTCTACAGAAGCACGTGACACTCCTCTTCACTGTTTCTCCTCACAGCTCGAGGTCCTCTGCTTCACTACCTTGTAGTCTCATCAATTACTTCATCTATGCTGGCTTCGAAGTTCTCAGCAACTTCTTCCCCAAAGACAAACCTGCAACCCATCGACACTCCAATAAAATGTTCCCCTTTAACACATAAACAAAAATAATCACACAATATGTTTGCCTTAAATCTCTATCTGTCCTCTACATACAGTGAGAGTGGACTCCCCCGTTTTGGGCGGGTCCATACTCCACCTCGCCCGGCGGTGGTCCTCACTCGCTGGGAGGGTCTTCCTCCGTCAGGAGCCGGGCTCCCTCAGTCGTCTGTCAGAGCTCAGAGGGGACGGACGTCGCTCCGTGTTCCTCCCTCTTCACTCTCCTATTTCAGGCTTTCTGCCTTATTAAAACATGTCTAACTTATAAATAAACATCGCTACTGTCGCTGGGCACACGACCAACTACAAGCAATCACTATGAACTGGCGTATATCGTGCTTACCACAGATTAAATGGTCGAGGGCGCTTTCCCTCTGACGGCGTCTGGTCACGGCGCTTACACCGCCCACAATAATGTCTCTGGCCGGCTTGATACTCTCTTCTTCGACCAGGACTTGAGACCACAACGTTCCCAGCTCGGTTCCACAGCTGGCACGTCTACACACTTCTCTTCTCTTCGAGATACATCACTAGGGGTTCCCTTCTGGCGGGAGCTCACGGAGCGCGGCTTTCCCCTGCGATGTCTGGCACTCAAGTGAGGTCAAGGTCCTACGGAAGCGAGCCTCACACCTCCAGCAAAATGTCCACATCTCCTAGCCAGTCATTTATCTGTTTTCTCCTTCATTGCCCATAATCTCAAACTGTTATACATATCCAAGCAACTATTTTACATATGCGTTATCACCTCAATATTTGCTAGACCTTCTAATCAGGTGAGGCTTGATGAATAACTCTCAAGGAGGGAGACTCGTTTCTCCTGCAGGCTGAGATCATAACACCTGGTCCTGGTGCCTGGCATTACACCTGGTCCAGGTGCTTGGCATTACACCTGGTCCTGGTGCCTGGCATTACACCAGGTCCAGGTGCTTGGCATTACACCTGGTCCTGGTGCCTGGCATTACACCTGGTCCTGGTGCCTGGCATTACACCTGGTCCTGGTGCCTGGCATTACACCTGGTCCTGGTGCCTGGCATTACACCAGGTCCAGGTGCCTGGCATTACACCTGGTCCTGGTGCCTGGCATTACACCTGGTCCTGGTGCCTGGCATTACACCAGGTCCTGGTGCCTGGCATTACACCAGGTCCTGGTGCCTGGCATTACACCTGGTCCTGGTGCCTGGCATTACACCTGGCCCAGGTGCCTGGCATTACACCTGGTCCTGGTGCCTGGAATTACACCAGGTCCAGGTGCCTGGCATTACACCTGGTCCAGGTGCCTGGCATTACACCTGGTCCTGGTGCCTGGCATTACACCAGGTCCTGGTGCCTGGCATTACACCAGGTCCTGGTGCCTGGCATTACACCAGGTCCAGGTGCCTGGCATTACACCAGGTCCAGGTGCCTGGCATTACACCTGGTCCTGGAGCCTGGCATTACACCAGGTCCAGGTGCTTGGCATTACACCTGGTGCCTGGCATTACACCTGGCCCAGGTGCCTGGCATTACACCTGGTCCTGGTGCCTGGCATTACACCAGGTCCAGGTGCCTGGCATTACACCTGGTCCAGGTGCCTGGCATTACACCTGGTCCTGGTGCCTGGCATTACACCAGGTCCTGGTGCCTGGCATTACACCAGGTCCTGGTGCCTGGCATTACACCAGGTCCAGGTGCCTGGCATTACACCTGGTCCTGGTGCCTGGCATTACACCAGATCCTGGTGCCTGGCATTACACCAGGTCCTGGTGCCTGGCATTACACCAGGTCCAGGTGCCTGGCATTACACCAGGTCCAGGTGCCTGGCATTACACCTGGTCCTGGAGCCTGGCATTACACCAGGTCCTGGTGCCTGGCATTACACCTGGCCCAGGTGCCTGGCATTACACCTGGCCCTGGTGCCTGGCAATTCACCTGAAATCAATGTTCCAATCCAATTACCCCACTAATGATAAGGAAATAATAATGGATGATTAGCAAATACTACATTGAAGGTTGATATGAATACCAAATTTAGACATACAGGTAAATTGATAATTAGAGTATATATATATACATGTTACCTAAAGGTAACATGTTCTGTAACATACTCGTTACTGAAGTAAAAGCAGAATAAACTGAGCCGATTTCGTTTGTGAGGAGAATGAAATAGGAATTACTCCAACACGGAATCCAAGAAGGCACAGTAGATTATTGCTGACCCAATAAGAATATTCATATTTTCCATAAAGAATAATATTGCCAGCATTTTGTGTCTTGCATTTTACCTATAACAATGTTTTTAGCATTTGAATGTTCAGGAGGCTCTGCACAACAGGTTGTCCATTGCTTTCATTGCATTGAAAACAGAAAAACAAAATGTAGATGGGAACTAAGTGTCTGCCCACCATCTGGCTAAAAGGGGCCCACCATCTGGCTCACTGAGGGGCCCACCATCTGGCTCACTAAGGGGCCCACCATCTGGCTCACTGAGGGGCCCACCATCTGGCTCACTGAGGGGCCCACCATCTGGCTCACTGAGGGGCCCACCATCTGGCTCACTGAGGGGCCCACCATCTGGCTCACTGAGGGGCCCACCATCTGGCTCACTGAGGGGCCCACCATCTGGCTCACTGAGGGGCCCACCATCTGGCTCACTGAGGGGCCCACCATCTGGCTCACTGAGGGGCCCACCATCTGCCTCACTGTGGGGCCCACCATCTGGCTCACTGAGGGGCCCACCATCTGGCTCACTGAGGGGCCCACCATCTGGCTAAAAGGGGCCCACCATCTGGCTCACTGAGGGGCCCACCATCTGGCTCACTGAGGGGCCCACCATCTGGCTAAAAGGGGCCCACCATCTGGCTCACTGAGGGGCCCACCATCTGGCTCACTGAGGGGCCCACCATCTGGCTCACTGAGGGGCCCACCATCTGGCTCACTGAGGGGCCCACCATCTGGCTCACTGAGGGGCCCACCATCTGGCTCACTGAGGGGCCCACCATCTGGCTCACTGTGGGGCCCACCATCTGGCTCTCTGTGGGGCCCACCATCTGGCTCAATGTGTGGCCCACCATCTGGCTCAATGTGTGGCCCACCATCTGGCTCACTGAGGGGCCCACCATCTGGCTCAATGTGGGGCCCACCATTTGGCTCAATGTGGGGCCCGCCATTTGGCTCACTGTGGAGCCCACCATCTGGCTCACTGAGGGGCCCACCATCTGGCTCACTGTGGAGCCCACCATCTGGCTCACTGAGGGGCCCACCATCTGGCTCACTGTGGGGCCCACCATCTGGCTCACTGAGGGGCCCACCATCTGGCTCACTGAGGGGCCCACCATCTGGCTCACTGAGGTTCAGAGTCCGTGAGGTTTCACACGGTGTTTTTATTCGGTAAGTCGTTATGACGACACTTAAACAATAGGGGCCGCTGGCGAACACACCAGTTGTGCACATAATTAAAATCTATGTCTAAATATATTTGACATGTATTTGATCTTTGAAACCACCAATTGTTTCTAGAAATCTAAAGTTGTTTAGATCTCTAACGTGAAGAAATCTTAAATATAGATATGATCCGAAACTTTTAAAGTATTGATCAGTAAGGAGGATATTGATCCAGACGACTTCTTCAAAAGGTGGGATGTGACACACTCAAGGATCTACGGATTCCATCCACCGCAACTAGCCTCAATTTTGGACAGTAAACATGTGATACTTTTTCACCCAAAAAGGTTATGGCCCCGTGGAACTGCCTACCAGCTGAAGCTATAAAGGCCAAAACACTGCCGAATTGTAAGAGTCCAGCTGGCAAATATCCTCTGGATAAAATGGGGGAGCTTTGACAAGCCGCCAGCTTCCGGTCTTGGTCAATACTACAAGAGTGTTAGTGACCCTCAGGTAAATCAAGTATAGCTTTCACCCAAATACTGAAGTATTCTCTCTACGTTGTTAGTTAAACAGTTGATGACGGAATATGTATTATTTGTTTGCCCATTAGAGTTGTAAACGTTTTAGGAAGCAAATTAATTTATCTTTAAACATTTAGCATGCGGTAATGCATGTTGAGTATACGATAATATTCAAATGGCAAACAATTGCACACGTAATATGATCGGACATTTGCCACACTTGTATAATGTGTGTCTCGTAATTATTTGCTCAAGTATACATACTATTATGTACTGAATATATTAGAGTGTAACTACTTCTTGATAATCTTATGTCTTATAAAGTATAGCAACTATATTCGCAAATGTTACTTGTTGCAAAGCAATTTCAAAATGAATAAGATATTTATTCAGGAAAAGGTATATTGACTTCACCACATCCTACGGGGAGTCCCTAATATGCTCCAACTTGTGCAACTTCAGAGTTATTCTACACAGTTTAGACTGACTGTAACCCGGGTGTGTGTAGTAGCATCTTTTGAGAGCAGCGAATTAAAAAGTGGTTCATTTATTTTCGGGAATATATTTATTTCAGGTTTATTTGCTAGAATTTCAGGGAACGTTCAACAGTGCGAAGGCGTTTTGTTTATGGTACCCTAAGGTTGGCTCTCGGGCACTGGATGAAGCTCACTTGCGCATGTGCCAGATATGAGAGTGGAACGACGTTGGCTGCCTTTTCCCAACTTGGTGGCCTTTGTCCAAAAGAAACTTGAGGAAACTCGTAGCAGGTGCAATTCAATCAGAAACAAAGCATCAAGACTGGAAGACGCAGGTCCAGCTCGGTCTGGTGATAATAATCATGGCACATCTGAATACAAGAAGTGACTACCAAGAAGAGCGAAGGGATGTGGGCTCTCCGTCACCGACCGACAGAAGGTTACACCACTGAACTTGAAAAATACTGCTATGAATCCCAGTAGGGGAGCAGGAAGTGGGTACAATTGATGTATAGCTGGGGGAGAGGAGTTGTCGTAGATGGAGGACAAGTGCCAGGTCTTGACCCAGCTGCTTGACTGAATTGACTGGGAGACGGTATAGAAGGCACGGTAGTGTAGAATTTCTTCGTAGGCCTTCATTCTTGAGGATGAAGAATTTTCTTCTTCTTTTTTGTTCTTCATGAGGGTTTAACTTGTCGTTACGCGGTTTGTGTCGCTGTCACATGATACCATCCTGGCTTGTGGAGCTGGGGTCAGGAGCACAATATATTGAGAACATGCCTGCTGGTATTTAATAGGTGATATATTCTGTCCAATAAGTGCCTATTAGTATTCCGGAGGAATAGGTAGTTTTGGTATCTGATCCGTCGATGTATAATGGGTGAAGTGGCTTGATTTTGAACTGTCAGCAAAGATTGGGTAAAAGCGCCACTACACCCACTGCCTCTACTGAGGCAGTGGGTGTAGCAGTTTAGTCTTATTCAGAAACTTGGTTATTGAGAACAGGTTCTGCACATGTTGCAGTGGTCTTATCATGACGAAAAATTTTGTTGGAGAGAACTGGTTCTATAGACTATGTAGTGGTTTTTGTCATGTAAAGAAACTTAGGTGGAGAGAACAGGTTCTGCAAATGATCAAGTAGCAGAAGGGGCGTTAGTTGGTGTTGCAGGAACAGAAATTAAGAAGATTATGTCGGCTGGAATTGTTACAGTTGTAAAACTGTCAAATGCTAGTCTATTGGCAATAGCGAGTAGAGCATGAACTTGAACTGTTCTGTGTCCAGTGGTGAGCGGTGGCTGGGTAGGTGGTTATGATGGGCCTGCCCAGGTGTCAGGCTATAGTGTGGCAGCACTTTTCCTTGGTAACACAGATACATCAACATGTCGAACGCACATTGCGGCGGCAGTACTGACATGTGTACTGTAGCCACTCCTGCACGAGGGTCGAAATAATATCCATTAAGCGAGCGGCTGTTGTGCCTCTTCTTCCGAGCAGGCTCCACGGTGCGCTCTTGCCCGCACTGGGAAACGACGCCCGCCACTCCCCTGAATGCAAATATGCTAGGAGGCAGGAGGCAAACGGGAGTCCCCATGATAGAGATTGTAATCAGTATTCAACATCAGATTGAATGTTGAATTTTGCTGTCATGTAAATTGCAGATGAGGCTTATCTAGCCTCAATTATTTTCTGGACTTCAGCCGTGGACATTCCGGCGACATTGTAATATAGGCACCGTCACTAAGGATGCATCATGTTTCTGGTAGTCTGGTAGTCCCAGAAGTGGTTTTCGAGGGAGCAGCTGCTACATTTTCCTTCGTGTAGAGTATATTTTCGTTCAAGATGGTCATATATGAAACACTTATAACATTGTTCGAGCTGGAAGTATGTTTCCTTCGTTATTTGACTTTGTTGATTAAATGCCAGAACACCCGAAGCCATTTTTTACACCAAGGGTTGTTTGATCAGAAGATTCGATTCTTAACTTGAGTGTTGGTCGCTAGTTGTCTTCTCTCCAGATAGTTTTTGCTGAAACGGCAATTAACGTCGGGTTTTATACGTTGTTGCTCTTACCAATCTCAGTGGCTGGCCTGTCTGACCTCCAGGAAATGATGTGCCTGACAAGGACGGTCCTCTGAGCCTGGAAGCATTGTGGTGGGCGTAGCAAAAAGTTTGGTCACTTGCAGTGTGGTCTGAATTTCAGGAGTAATAGTTTCTGAAGTGCCTCTTATCTGGAGAAAACAAGTTTAGAACATTACATTCTTCTAAGATGTCGGGAGGTGACGTGTCGGCGATGCCGACGAGAATATCAAATACTTCACTCTGGGAGTACTGGTATGTCCTCCGAAATCGAACATTGATCTAGCAGACCATTGTGTTTCCAATAGGGAAGTACCATTAGGTAAGTGCAAGGAGCGCAATTCAACTGTTAATTCCTCAACGGTACGAATTAACAATGGGAGAACACACACTATGCATGTTGCTGGCTTGCAGTCTTGTGGAACACTTATGAACGAACGAACGATACATACAAAACAATATACCCAGTGGGTCAGAGGGGATGTGGGTATAGCTTAAGAATAGACTTGGAGAGGAAAAGTTGTAGTAACAGAAAAAGTGCCACGGCTTAGCCCACCTTCTGGATTATTAAATAGATGTTGTCATCACCGCCGGCAGGAGTACCAGTCAAGCCCGGCCCTCACACCAAAGACCCAGGAACGCCAGAGAGGTCCAGCTTTAGTGTAGAGTCAAGTCCAGTTACTGTGGTGTTGTCTTCTTTAGAGTCCTACCAGTCTACTTATTGGTTCTAACTTGTCATTTTCTTCGCCTTCTTCTTTTTCTTTGCTTTAGATCTTGTCGTTAAGCTGGTGCAGATATCACTGTTATTGTCTAGATAAAGTTCATAGTAACGTTTGTTGATAAGATCAAGGTGAAACCGTTTGAGATCGAATTGTTCTTATATCGTTTGGGCGGAACAGTCGATATACTCCCGCTGGGAATATCCTTAATTCTCTCCAGTAACACTCGTTGTAGTAAAGAGTGGTAATACTACTACTGCCCTCTGGAGCGCCTGGAATACTGTGGAGCGCCTGGAATACTGTGGAGCACCTGTAATACTCTGGAGCGCCTGGAATACTCTGAAGCGCCTGGAATACTCTGAAGCGCCTGGAATACTCTGGAGCGCCTGGAATACTCTGGGGCGCCTGGTAAAGCGGTGGACACATAGGGGACGTCTATCGCTGTAACACCAGCTGAAGTACAGAGGTCGGCTGTATCTTGTACCACTGATTTATAGACTGCTGGTGCTGAGGAAGTTTTTTTATCGACGTAAATACAATAAATGCAATAAGAAAGGTCATTACAGACTAACAAAAATAAAACCCATACCCGGGCTACCAAATACTTACAATGAGCATCAAACATGGTATATAATCAAAAACACAATAACAGTATAACAGAAATACAAAATAGGCACAAAACAGGAAACGCATCATATATACACAGAAATATATTCAGGGGCACAATGGAAACATGGCAAGGAATGTTGAAACAAGCCAGAAGGGCTACATGGAAAGTCCAAAAAACCACACACACAGTATGACAACACCGGAACGCACAGGAACCGGGAAGAGGGAAGTACAGAACTTTATTAGGAAAATACAATAAATACAGAGAAGGCAAGACATGATGAACAAATGGACATGGGCGGTAACACAAGGGGTGGGGGCGGTAACATGGCGGGGTGGCAACACAGCGGGCAGCGCCACGGGAGGTGGCTCCAAAGGGGGGCAACACCACAAGGAACACATCCGAAGCATAAGCCACGGGTCCGGGCACCGGCAAGAACTCCCACGGCGGTCATCCTTCTCGAGAACCATCACAAGGCCCCGGGCCGCACCGTTGTCTGCAACATCTGCCATAGGAGGGGGGGCCACCCCCCACGGCGGGGAACCCACCACAGGAGGAGAAACAGAGGCCAACTCCGGGGCACCCGTGCCGGCGCCAGCAGGAGGCACATGAATCTTCTCCACTACCATCGTAGGGCCCACTCCAGGGTTCACGCCACCTGCCG